CCTTACCGAACGATCACTAAGGCGAAATGCAGCAGCATGTTTCCCGGCAGACCGAGTCGGACTGCGAAGAAAGACCTGTCGAACGCGTTCAACATTTTCAGGAGTTCGAACTGTTCGCGGCGCTCCTCTTGGTCTTCTGTTGATCAGTTCACCACGCCTGCGAAGGATGGTGTTTCGAGAGGGAACAGCTCTATTCCGATGAATGTTGAAGTGGCGACGAAACTCACGCTGTACGACGATGACTGACTCATTATTTCGGACGAAACAATCATAGGCGAAAACGCGGCGCTCCACCATCTGAGGCTCCATAACGACAGCTGGTAAAATAATGCTAGGATCTCACGAGTCAAACGGCACCCTCCCCACCTCTCGGAGGCGGAGAGTACTACCCATCCCAAAAACGTCCGTCCTCTCTGCCGCACCCTGTACTATTTCTTTCATCATCTTTTCTATGATTTTGTTGTGAAGTGAGGACACTTCCGTAGTATCAGTAATGGCCGATGTTATCCACACTGCCGCCTATGGTAGAACGGAGGTAGGTATTCTGTACCGCGCCCTATTGTTGAAATACATGGTATTTCCAGTCCGCGCCTATTTACTATTGGTATTTCCGATAGCTTGAATTATTCGCACATTTTTCGGCCTATGATATCAGAAAGTGGGATAGAACACGCTCGTCTTACCGGCATGCACGAGTTTTGATTTAGTGCGATGTTTGTGAACCAGAGTAATTGAGTTAAGGTAGTGTCGCTATAGTGTCGATGGAGTGCCCTCGTGATGTCGAGCTAGAGATGCTAGTGTCGATGGAATGTCGAGCTAATAAGCTAGTATCGACGAAATATCGAATACACGGCATTTTAAGCCTGCACCTATTTATACTGAATGACAATAAAGGTAAACACCTACGTATGTTTATCAGATTTTAATAATTTTTAGCATATATGTTCAGTGTCCTTTACTAGTAAAATGATTAAATTTTCAGCTTGGTACGTCAACTGACTGTCGAAGCTGGTTCAAAAATGTGTTGAGGATCCACGATTTCCTATACACTCATTGACACGCCTAGGCATCGTGTTGATGAGGTGGTCGATATCCTGTTGGGGTATGTCATTCGTGAGTAAGAGCTGCTGAAGTCTGTGAAGGGTGTTCCAAATTCAAGAGCCTGCGACCCATTATGTCCCAGACATGTTCAATTGGAGATAGGTCACGAGATCGTGGTGGCCAAGGTAAAAGGTTGATGCGATCCATGAAGGCTAACGGTGCTCTGACAACATGCGGCATTGCCTTGCTGAAAAATCGAATTATGGATGGTGTTTAGGTACGGAATAAGATGAGGTTCCACTACTTCCTGAATATAGCGTCAGGCTGTCATGTTGCCTCTGATGAGAATTAGTGGTGATCTGCTACCATAAGCAATAGCACCCCATACCATAGCTCCCACGGTGTGGTAAACGTGACGCTCTCTGTGAAATTGTGGGTCACGTCTTTCACCACAACGCCTTCTCACTCTTGCCTGACATATGCGGGATTCGTCACTGAAGGCCACCTGATTTCATTTCCGGTCCAATTTAATTCTTTCTCTACACCAGAGGTTACGCCCATGTTCAGCTGTGAGAGGTAGCTGGACCACCCGACAAATTCTACGCACTCTAGGCATTTTGAGCCATCACAAAGAGGCTTCTCAATCAGCTACACGAAATTGAACATTTAACTGACACCGTAAATATACGGAAACTGGATGCTTCTTCGTCACCAAACAATACACGCAGCCACCACAAATACTTAACAGAAAAACCTGACCATTTACATACGTAGGTATTTACCCTTTTTGTCAATCAGTATATTAATGGTATTTCCAAAAATAGACATCGGAAAAATGTGGAACCATTGTACGTATACATATACCTACACCATGGTCACAAATGCACTAAAAACAATCCTATAGTAAACTCGTAAAAATAGTGTTAAGCCAAATATGATCTTAATAAAATGTCGCCCATTAATGAGATACAGGTGGTTGAAAATCAATCCTCGAAAGCATCATTTATCTACAGCTCAAGGTGATTTGTGAAACCAGCATAAACACTGGCAGTTGGGGTTTCTAGGGAATGTGATCAGAATCTATTTTTCAGCAACTATGTAAACGGTGCTAATTATTGTCTATAATCATGCTATTTCATGACGATATATACTAAGTGACATATAAATCCGTTTAAATGGTTTTATTTTAATAAAATTTTGTATAAGTACTTAATGAAGCATAATAAGTAAATGATAAAAATTTCAAAATGATTGCACTGCTTCAAAGCCCTTTGACCTTTAATAATGTGTGGATGCACCCTGATGTGATACGCATTCTCCAACGCGCCTAGGCATGCTTCTGATCAAGTGGTCAATGTCCTCCTGTGGTATCTCATTCCAGGCAACCACCAACTCTCCTCGAAGTGCTTCTAGAGTCTGAGGAGGACGTTGCAAATTGAGCAATCTCCTACCCATCATATCCCACACGTGCTCAATTGGGGATAAGTCGGGAGATCTTGGTGGCCATGGTAACAATGTGACATCATTATGTTGAAAGAAGTCTATTGTGACTCTTGCAACATGTGGTCGGGCATTATCTTGTTGGAAAGTTGGATCTGCCAGGGTGTCAAGATAGGGTAAAAGATGGGGTTCTAGAACTTCGTGGATATAACGCTGCGCGTTCATGTTACCTCTGATGAAGATTAAAGGTGACCTGGAACCATAAGCTATAGCACCCCAAACCATAACTCCAACAGTGTGATGAACATGTCTTTCAACAAAAAACTGTGGATTCCTCCTTTCACCACGACGCCTTCAAACCCTGGCACGACCATCGTGCATGCCTAAACAAAATCGAGACTCGTCACTAAAGACAATACTGTTTCGTTCCTGATCCCAGAGTGACCGTTGTCTGCACCACTCAAGGGGATTACGTCGGTGTACTCGAGTTAAAGGGAGGACCCAGTGTGGCCGGTATGAAAACAAGCCAAAACTTCTCATTCGTCGGTAAACACTTCGCATGCCAATAGGTATTCCGTGTTCTGCAAACCATTCATTTGCAATGGACCTGGTAGTGGAGAAACGGTCCCTTAAGGCGAATAATCTTAGGCGACGATCTTCACGGTCTGTTGTTCTACGGCGGCGTCCAGTGCTCCTTGCTCTTTGCGTACGGCCTTCTCGAAGCCATGCCTGACAACACCTAACCACAGTGTCTACACTTCTTTGCACTCTAACTGCAATTGCCCGAAAAGAAAGTCCAGCTTCCCGAAGTCCCACTATACGGCCCCTATCAAACTCACTAAGTTGACGAAATCGTACAGGTCTCCGTACTCTAGGCATCGTAACCGATCGTAAAGGATGTCAAGAACCAAAATCCGCCAACGTTGATTCTTTACTGCGGCTGAAATATTCATTTTTAGAGCGTTAGTGAATTAAAACAAAGCAGTATAAAAACCGGAATGTCCAACTGATAAGGCTGAAAATTTTTTCACTTGTTATTTACAGTAAGATAAATACATTCACCAACTTTTATTAAAATAAAACCATTTAAACTGGGTGTTCGGATTTATATGTCACTTACTATAGTTCCGTCTTTATTTGAAATTTATGATAGAGGTTTTTGAGCGAAAAAAGTCTGCATTAATGTCGATTGGGCAAATCTTATTCAAGACATTTGCATTGCAACATTCTATCGCACATAATATGGTTGCAGGAATTGCTGTTTCAAGAACAGGTAATTGGGCTGGAATATTATATGGGCAATAAATAATCTTATGCCACACCAAGAGTGCGAAGTTCAAATTCGCGCGCTCGTATTGGCCAGTGGGTCATAAATGCCTGGACAGGCAGCGACAAGCAAATAGTACCGGCGATCAGGTGCTCATATTTATTTTGAGGTCTGAATAGAATGTCGTCAGATATTTGGCAATACCCAATACTAGAGCATATTGGCCTTGTGAAATACTCATAACAAACTGTTTCTGCAAGTTAACTGTGCAACAGGATATTCAAATGCAATTATCTCAAAAAGGATTCTTCAAATTTTTGTTCCAATATCATCACTCTAACATAATTTTATGTAAAAAATAATGAGACAGCACTAGCAAGGAAGTTACGGTGTGAAATTGGAATAGCATAGTTATTTAAAAAACGAATATAATCGTATTTGCGATCATCAAAACTCTAAATTCCAAATTTTCATGTCGGTATCATAAACTGCTTAAGCTATTATAGATCAACAGCGATTTCAATAATTAAACTTTGTCACTCTGCATCTCACTGACGAGCGACATCTTACTACGAATGTTTTGGTTCAGCATCACTACAGGTTTAATCTGGGACTGCTTTTTGGTGCTTTCGTTAGGATCCATCCTGTGTATGTGTTGCATTCTTTCCTGAAATCTATTTTTAAGAAAATTATCGTATTGAATGTTTTGTTTTATCTGAATATTTCAGTTTTATAGTGTTTGTATTAATACATACAGTGTGACGCAAAAGTCCCTGAACGGCTCTGCATTTTCTCGAGTAAGGTATTTTTGGAAAAGACCAAGGTCAGGTCTTTGGTAACTTTCAGCAAAGAATTCAACGGTGACCTTGAATTCGACCTTGAGCTTCACCTTCAAGGTTAATTTACGGTCAATTTTATTGTTCCAGATAGATACCCCCATTTTTGATGCCAGCAATCGAAAAAACGTTCAAACACAATTAAATTCCAAGGTCAGAATGACTACTAAAGGTGCAATGAAAATCAAACGTGTGCCGCTAGGAAAACCTGTATAAATCTCACAGGATGTGTCTATTTTGGATGCGGGCAATCGAAAGATTGGAAAATTTTACGTTCAAATACGGTATGACGTCCAAGGTCAGGGTGCCATCTAAAGGTCGAATGTGTCCTGCTAGGAAAACCTCTATAAATCCCACAGGACTAGTAATGAAAACAATTATCAAGATCAGGTCTTTGGAGTGAGCGGTGATCTTGGTCTCTACCTTCAAGGCCATCTCAAGGTCAATTTCATTTTTTTAATGGAAATCCCTATTACGAGGGATGTCTTTTAAGTTTTGCATATGGATATAAAACAACACGGTAGGTAGCTTTAAATGACTATTGTTTTTCGAAGTATTCTCCACGAAGATTAATGCGCTCGAACCAATTTTCGAAGCACTTATTCCACTCGTTTGCTGGCAGATCCAAAACGGCATTTTTGAACGCGTCAACTGCTTCTTCTGGTGACTGGAACGTTTGACCACGCAGTCTGTTTTTAATTTTCGGGAAAGTAAAGAAATCGTTAGGACTTCCACGTTTTCTTCCGTCAAATATTGCCTTGTTTTTTGGGCTGTGTGCGAGCTTGCATTGTCTTGTGGATGATGAATCTTTTTTCGAGGTTGATTTTTTGAAGCTCGGTGATAACTTTTGGCAAACAAATGGTGGTATACCAATCCGAAGTAAAATTTCTTTGCTTATTAAGAGGAATTGTTGCAATATGACCAGCTTTTGACACAAATGTCGCGACCAACTTTTTCGAAACAATTCGAGAACGGATGACTTTTGTTGGCTTTTCTTCACCTTGGAACACCCAAACAGCCGACTGTCGTTTATTTTTTGTTTCATAACAGTAAATCCACGATTCATCACCACTAACAATGCTGTACACCTTTTTTGAGTTTCCGGAATTGAAACGATCAAGCGTTTTTTGACACCAATTAACCCTGGCTGCTTTCTGCTCTTCAGATCTTTGGGTAAGTTTTAACGAGGGAACTACGGTGCTCGTTATAAATGATTTTTAACCGACAGTGTTCCTGTGAATTTCTATTGGAGAAAAATGACCTTGAAATTACCTTGTAGGTGCAGTTCAAGGTCAAATCCAAGATCAATCTTCTACAGACCTGACCTTGATATTTATTTTCATCACTAATTCTGTGAGATTTACAGAGCTCTTGCTAGTACCACACATCTGATCTTCATTTGATCTTTAGTAGCAAACGTGACCTTGGACTTTAATAACTGTTCCGTTCTTTTGATTGCGGGCATCAAAATATGGGTTTTTATTTGAATAAACAAAATTGACGGTAAAGTAACCTCGAAGGTGAATATTAAAGTCAAATTCAAGGTCACCTTGCTGACTCCTTTCTTGATCTTTTCCAAAAATACCTCATACGAGAAAATACAGTGCCGTTCCGGAACTTTTGTCACGCCGTATATGACGCAATAATTCCCTGTTAACGAAAATTTAAGTACATGCTCAACATAAAATGGTTTTATATTTTTGACGCCGGTTTTATTATTGTTATTCATGTTTAGGTGAGTCACAAAGTGACATTTATAGTTGGAATATCTTTAAAATTGCTTTCGACTTTCTCCTTATTTTTAATGAAATCAATAATTAATCAAGTTCCAATAGTAACCATATCAAAAATTTTAGCATTATTTGTAATGGTTGTCGACTCCTAGTTGAACAACGTTGCAACCTTCAAGTATTTTCCTTCGAATAAGATAGGTTTTACTATCTACCTTAACCTTCTCTGATCCTTAATAGTTGCTTCAACTCGCATGTTTTGCTCAGTAATCTGAAGGAAATTGTCACATTTTGAAGTTCAACAAGAACGGATGTCACGTTAAAAGGATTCTTCCAATCATTGTATTTATATGTTATGGTAGTGGTCAGTTGTTTTCTAGGTATATAACTGCAGTATGCGAGTGTAGTGCGAAAATAGTGCATATGTGTGTGAAAAGTATCATAAACTATATTCATATATATCATGAAACACAACAGCACAGACACAGCCACACTGCAGGGCTACCGCTACCACAACATAGATTTTAAATTGGTTTACTTTACAGGAAAAATACTCCGTACGAGACGCACATCGTGTCAGCATCCAACAGCTTAACAACGGCTTCGAAATGGAGCATTTTCCTGTTTTTTTATCCAAATAAAGAACACATTTTACCCTAGAAGAAATCAAAAAGCACACCTCTGGCTAATTATGAGCTTACGATAAACAGTGGATTCTATATAAATATAGAGTTACGTTATGAGGGAGGTTACGTAGCGTATGTATAATAAACATATTGAGGAATTATGGGGTGTCCATTACTTACTTTTTTATGTCATTTACTTCAATCCAAACAATAATTTGCTGGGATATTGTCAATAGCTGCTGAAGAGTATAGTTAAAAGGATTATCTTCACAACTTAATCCATGAAATACTGTTTTGAAATGACGAGATTTCTTCTTTTCAACAAATTACTGTGATCTTACGTCTGCAATGGCAGTTAAGTATTCCATAGCGATATAACAGACAAAACTAATTCATCGAAAAACATCAACTGACTGTTTGGAGCAGTACTTCCGTTTCATCTGATTATTTCATGGTGTGTAAAGCGATAACTAAAAAAATGTTATAAATTCCGCTTTTATTTGTTTGTTTGTTGAAGATTTATTTACCATTAATGTTACAATGTCAATTGGGTATAATTATTCATTTGCACATTTGTTTGAGTCCTTTTATACACAATTTTTTTGGAATGCATACTAAGATTATGGGAAACTCTATAGAAGAAATTTATCTTTTTTGATATTTTTGGAATGATGTATTTATAATGATCGTGAAACAGTAGTTTACTATCCACATATATACCCCTATATTTAAATGATCCGACTACTTCAATTCTATTCATTATTCATGAGCCTAATTCACCTAAGTGTTTCCCTATTGTCATACATTTTGTTTTATAAATCTTTAATTTAAGTTTATTAACATAATTTTTTTAATATCACAATTTAACAGTTCTAAAGCTGTGTCCAAATGTTTATGTGCTATAAATATCAGTGTATCGTGCGCAAATATTTGAATTTTGCAGTGTTCTAAAATGTCAGAGATATCATTTATTGAAATAATAAATATTAACGGCCCTAATTTACTCCCCTGTGGCACCCCTTATGATATATCTTGGACGCTTAACGTGATATTTCCAACTTTAGTTTTTTGATTTCTATTTACCAAAAAATACGCATTTTTGACAAAAAATAAATTGATAGCATTATTTTTCAATCATCTCTATACAAACCATGAAACAATAAGACGAAAAGTATTAAGAATACTCCTCCAAACAGGCTGTTGAAAAAAAGGACATACGAAGTTAATGCCTCATAAGGAAATAATATAGTGTGACGCAAATAAGTGTTTCCAGAATTGAAGATATTCTAGAACTTAGACAACCTATAATGATATACGCTACAGCCGGCTTAAGAAAAACGTGACTCAATCAGGAGAGCAGCGGGTCTTCAGCAATTCAATTTCTTATCTATCATAGAAGACCTATTTCTGAAGCAACCAGTTGGAAATACCGCAATGTTTGGTTTTTTATAGTACTGACTGAACTTGCCCTCTACATTTCTTCCTTAACCAATTTTCCCAAACTTATAGTCCCTCTGAACTTTATTAAAATCGTCCCGTAACATATATTTATGTAATGTCCACTGAATATCCAAACAGCTTTTATATATAAATTGCATTAGTACTGCGACCAATTCTCCGACAAATGACATTACAGAATGTTGCAGGGCAACTATCCCTGATATCATAGGAAACTTATCTTTTCACCATTAATACATGTCTATAACATTTATAGATACAGGCCAGAATCCTCATCTCAATCAACGTACTGATAATACATGGAAATTATCGTTACTTACCTTTCCAAAACAGGGATGAGATTTAACATTTCTGGTATAACCGTCCGTATCGATTAAATAAAACAGGAGCAAGAAAACCCATAGTAGTACAAGTATCCTGTGCTAAAATAATATGGGGCAAGTATTGTGACTGCAAAAAAATGTTGATTTTGAGATAGGATTATATAAAGGACATCCATGTCATTCATTAACTTTACCCACCAAAACGACAGCTGAAAAAGCCCCTCACAAGATATATCGGCATAGCAGCCACTTTGTAACTTCTATTCTGCCTGATTATTGCATTTTGAGAAGTTTATACAGTCGAATTTCGCATTGGAGACATTTTGGAGGATTCTATCAAAGTATGCAATAAAATTTAGGATATTTTATCAAAAGGCTTACTCTAGCTATATTGCAAAGCACCCTGTATATGCAAAGACGTTCAAGCCATTTTCCAGCATCGTATGTCACGAGACTTCATCACATTTTGCTTACACGCGAATTAGTCACTCTCGTACACATGGTTTTAGAGCTTTGGTTCCATTTGAATATTTGATCAGGAAGGCCAAGAACTACAAACGTATAATTAGAACCATTTTCAGCAGGGCTTTTTTTGTTCCGTTATTGGCACTGGCCGATGACCAACTGGCCAGATTTTACCAGGGAATAAATAACCTCATATCCTGTGTAGTTTTTTCTCTTCAGATTAATGATCATACTTTGCTTCAAGGATTAATGCTAGGTTGAAAATGCTCGAAGATGCTTTGGATTATTTCTTTGTCAGCTTGCTATTAGTTTAAATGGCGAAGTGTCCGCTTGATATGAATTACAACAATTATACTGACGTAAAAGGTAGTCGAAAAAATCCTGGATTTTTTTCGAACTGAATAGTGCTATTACGACAGAACAAAAGTGAATGAATAATGCAAAGCTACATGAGTTTATAGAGAGTAATTTTCTTACTTCATTTTTTCTGTAATTGTAAGACAAAAAGCAGTAACATGCGACTTACAGCTTTAACATTTAGGCTTCTGCCTGTGTGGCTACTTCGGTATATATATATTTACTAAGTGACATATAAATCCGGACACCCAGTTTAAATGGTTTTATTTTAATAAAATTTTGTATAAGTACTTAATGAAGCATAATAAGTAAATGATAAAAGTTTCAACATGATTGCACTGCTTTAAAGCCCTTTGACCTTTAATAATGTGTGGATGCACCCTGCTTCTGCCTGTGTGGCTACTTCGGCATATATATATTTACTAAGTGACATATAAATCCGGACACCCAGTTTAAATGGTTTTATTTTAATAAAATTTTGTATAAGTACTTAATGAAGCATAATAAGTAAATGATAAAAGTTTCAACATGATTGCACTGCTTTAAAGCCCTTTGACCTTTAATAATGTGTGGATGCACCCTGATGTGCTACGCATTCTCCAACGCGCCTAGGCATGCTTCTGATTAGTTGGTCAATGTCCTCCTGTGGTATCTCATTCCAGGCAACCACCAACTCCTCTCGAAGTGCTTCTAGAGTCTGAGGAGGACGTTGCAAATTGAGCAATCACCTACCCATCATATCCCACAGGTGCTCAATTGGGGATAAGTCGGGAGATCTTGGTGGCCATGGTAACAATGTGACATCATTATGTTGAAAGAAGTCTATTGTGACTCTTGCAACATGTGGTCGGGCATTATCTTGTTGGAAAGTTGGATCTGCCAGGGTGTCAAGATAGGGTAAAAGATGGGGTTCTAGAACTTCGTGGATATAACGCTTCGCGTTCATGTTACCTCTGATGAAGATTAAAGGTGACCTGGAACCATAAGCTATAGCACCCCAAACCATAACTCCAACAGTGTGATGAACATGTCTTTCAACAAAAAACTGTGGATTCCTCCTTTCACCACGTCGCCTTCTAACCCTGGCACGACCATCGTGCATGCCTAAACAAAATCGAGACTCGTCACTAAAGACAATACTGTTCCATTCCTGATCCCATTTGACCGTTGTCTGCACCACTCAAGGCGATTACGTCGGTGTTCTCGAGTTAAAGGGAGGACCCAGTGTGGCCGGTATGAAAACAACCCAAAACTTCTCATTCGTCGGTAAACACTTCGCATGCCAATAGGTCTTTCGTGTTCTGCAAACGATTCATTTGCAATGGATCTGGTAGTGGAGAAACGGTCCCTTAAGGCCAATAATCTTAGGCGGCGATCTTCACGGTCTGTTGTTCTACGGCGGCGTCCAGTGCCCCTTGCTCTTTGCGTACGGCCTTCTCGAAACCATGCCTGACAACACCTAACCACAGTGTCTACACTTCTTTGCACTCTAACTGCAATTGCCCGAAAAGAAAGTCCAGCTTCCCGAAGTCCCACTATACGGTCCCTATCAAACTCACTAAGTTGACAAAATCGTACAGGTCTCCGTACTCTAGGCATCGTAACCGATCGTAAAGGATGTCAAGAACCAAAATCCGCCAACGTTGATCCTTTACTGCGGCTGAAATATTCATTTTTAGAGCGTTAGTGAATTAAAAAAAAGCAGTATAAAAACCGGAATGTCCAACTGATAAGGCTGAAATTTTTTTCACTTGTTATTTACAGTAAGATAAATACATTCACCAACTTTTATTAAAATAAAACCATTTAAACTGGGTGTTCGGATTTATATGTCACTTAGTATATATATATATATATATATAGAATTATTCAAAGGATAAACGCAGTAATACAGAATTTTAATTTAATTTCATAGAATTTATTCATATTGAAATTTACATAAATAGCACAAAAGTGATAATTATATGATTACAATTAAAAATTACATTCAACAAAAATAAACTAAAAATAGCATTTTTCTCTTGTATGTAGAGTTAAATGAAGAATATTTTTTAAAATTATTCTTCCGGAGCAAAAGTAATTATTTATAACGATAAATACTTATTCCCGAATAATAACCTAACCAATATAATAATAGAATAATTACATAAAAAAATAGATTAGTAAACATCATAATAGGTTATGAAAGGGTAAAAAAGCAGTACTTGTGTTATATATAGAGAACAAAAGCAGGATAGTTTACTGTTTGGCTTTGTTAAACTGATTTACTGCTTTTATGCCTAGGAAATGCTGATGAATGAACTATTTTTATTAAATAACGTAATCAATAATATATTTTGTAATTGTAATCATAAAAGAAATGTATTGGCGTCAAAATTAAAAACGGCAGTGAATGAACTTTACTGCCTTTTACCTAAGTAAGGCAGTATACCGACGTTGAATTTATTAATTCACCGGATTATTGTTTTTAAATTAGCTTGCACGTTTACTCCTATTGAAACAAAGTATTCTACTATAAACTACCCTTATATCCGTATTGATATTAATGCGAGATTTCCCCATATTTCTTCGTTCCCATCGAGAAATGTCGAAAAGTCCGGATTTAGAGAGATTTTTCATCTCTAAAAAGGTGTGTCCAATTTCTGTATTTGAGAAGCTATTATATATTAAACAACTTTTCTCAAGGGTTCGTATTACAACAGCTTGAAAAAAGATGAATGTCTCAAAAAGTAAGTTTCAAGAAAAGCGAATTTAGAAGTTTGAATACTTCTAGTTGTACAGGGTGGGTCATAGATAGGAATGGAAAAAATAGTTAAATCATAAATAACTTGTGTCGCCAAAAAGTGAAAGCAGACCAAACATTTATTTAATGGAAAATCCTTTTTATTTTTGTATTTTGATCTTATGATCTTAAACATGTTTTATGTGTTGGCGTTCATGCCTAATTTCAACTTTTTTGAGATATTGAGGTGAGAAATGAGCCTTTCGTCATATGCGACACCCTATAAAATCTAAGCCTTGATTAACTAGCAAAATGCCTATCTTAGGTTTTGTGATCTGTTCTTATTTATATGAAGGGTACCGGGGAATAACGACAATAGTCCATCCGGACTGATTTTGACAAAATCGGTAATTAAGGTTTACTTACTTGTTGGAAAGTAAAATTGAATAAAAAATAAGTCGTAAAGAATATCTTTGCTAAACAGTGTATTTATTGGTAAAATAGATTAAAAAATGAACTTTTACTCAAAACTAGTAAAGTAACAAACAAAAGATGATATTCAACTCTGGACTCTGATAAAATGCCCTGGAATCTGCTCTCTCTAGAAATTTGGTCAGATGCTGCAGATCCTTCCGTTTCTTACTTTTAATTGGGATTGGGCCCCGGTAAAGTTTTCTCAATGTTTCCTCTTCTCGTTTTTGTTGAACTTTTTGCGTCTTTTTGAGATTCTTCCGAATTACCTTATCAAATTTAGAACCAGCATATAGACCCATGTATGTCGATTTGTGAAAAACTACGCGAGGATTCTGTTTATAAAACTTGAGCATCCTGACCGGTCGGGTTGGAAAGGGGCACTTCGTTGGATAAAACGGCGATAAAAACGTACTCCAATCTTGAAATCAAAATTTTTGCCACAGACAATGACTTCAAATGTTTCATCACACGGCAATTTCTCAATTTATCTCTCCAGTCATCCGGTACCTCAGTGGTTTGGTTCACGAGACTCATATCTCTATCACACTCGAGGTATGAATGCTCCCTGATCGGGAATATTACTTTCACAGTAGTAAAACGATTTTTCTTGGTAACCAAGTAATGCAAAAACCGAATAACTGTAAAGTTTTTATTTTGCCCTGCACAGGAGTCACAGAAACTGGCAAGTTCTTTTACTTCCATAGGCAGGATGTTATAAAAAAAGTGATACAGCATAGAACAGACATCGTCAGCTCTATTTCATCGTAGGTATAAAAGATAGAAGTTGAGGTTGACAGAATGTGGACGTTAAAACTGATGAAATTTAGTTGCCGCTTATAGTAAACATCATTTGTCGTGATATTTGGACAGAGCAAGTTTTTTTGGTAATCCATCGTGATACTTTCGATAGCGGGGAACTTCGAGGCACATTTGCGTTAAGTTCTCTTTAGACTGTAAAATCGCTCACTCCTTTTTTGATGTAGTGTCTTCTCAAGTATCTTTTCCTCCAAATTATTACTTGCTGACTGCCTAGTTTGTACGGCCGATGCAACACCGCCTTTCCATATGGACTGAAGCCGTTTTTCCAGACACGCGCAGGGACTCATGCCATTCTTCCCCGGTACAGGGAATCATATAGCTGTTGTTTTGTGAACGTAAGCCCTTTTTACAATTTAAGAAGCTGAATACGAGGGATGTCTTTTAAGTTTTGCATATGGAAATAAAACAGGTATCTTTAAACGACTTTATTGTTTTTCGAAGTATTCTTCACGAAGATTAATACACATCTGCATGCGCTCGAACCAATTTTCGAAGCACTTATTCCACTCGTTTGCTGGCAGATCCAAAACGACATTTTTGAATGCGTCAACTGCTTCTTCTGGTGACTGGAACCTTTGACCACGCATTCTGTTTTTAATTTTCGGGAAAGTAAAGAAATCGTTAGAACTTAGATCGGGACTATATGGAGGATGGTCCAATAATTCCACGTTTTCTTCCGTTAAATACTGCCTTGTTTTTTGGGCTGTGTGCGAGCTTGCATTGTCTTGGTCGAGGATGATTCTTCTTTCGGGGTTGATTTTTCGAAGCTCGGTGATGACTTTTGGCAAACAAATGGTAGTATACCAATCCGCAGTAACAGTTATTTGCTCATTAAGAGGAATTGTTGCACAAATGTCGCGACCATCTTTTTCTAAACACTTCGAGAACGGCTTTGGCTTTTCTTCACCTCGGAACACCCAAACAGCCGACTGTCGTTTGTTTTCTAGTTCATAACAGTAAATCCACGACTAACAATGTTGTACACATTTTTTGAGTTTTCGGAATTGAAACGGTCAAGCGTTTTTTGACACCAATTAACCCTGGCTGCTTTCTGCTCTTCAGTCAACAGGTGGGGTATCCAACGCGAAACTAATTTCTTACTCCTAATTCTTCATCTTCATCAAGAAAAGATGGGATTTGATCTGGTCCAACTTTGTAGTAAACTCTCGAAATCATTATGCTCTTATTCACCCGACCCTTCCCAATATAATTCCCCACATAGATATCTTCTATATGAATAGAAGATTCTCCACAATTATAACGAGATTGAGATTGGGTCATGGTTGCTTTCCTGCTCATCTTCATCGAATAGGTGTAATAGAGTCCCCAAATTGTGCTTGTGATCACATATTTTTTGCTTCTAATCTTTACACCAATATCTCCAACCAATTAATCACTCAGATGATTAAACTTGGCTTCCAACTACCTTTAAGTCTAACTACCATTTTATCCTTATCCTTATCCGGATATAAAAATTTATTTAGCGCTAATTCAATTCCTTAACAAGGCAAATATTACTATATGAAATAAACCTTGTCTGGGATTCGTAACTATTCAGTTATATCCACCCCTGTTCTTTCTTTCTTACCGTCTCTCACAATGATCAGATAATATAAATCGATTGACAACATTTTGTGGCAAATGGACTCCAGTTTCCAATGCCAATATTTTGACACACACACACACACACACTTAAAAATTCAATGTAGTGAGAACACTGCACGTATTGTTGTGAAACTTTGAATTTAGGTTTACTAAAGAGTGAGGTTAAGATTCAGTGCTGACGTTCGATCCGCGCGGCCTACTGTGTTTCTATATGCAAAACTTAAAAGACATCCCTCGTACAAGATAGCATAAGGAAAATGCCACCAAAATAAACTGAAAGCTCAATTTAGCGAAATAATGGACTAATGCCGTTTTCCCCCGGTACCCTTCATATGAGAATAACCTTGACAGGAAATATATTACCCAGGCCCTAGAACATGAGGAAAAGGAGCTTTATTCAAAATAATATAGAAGAAACAAAACAAAATTAATGGTAACTGCTTAAAATGATTATTCAACGATTATTTGGTACTAGTTTCGGTGACGATTTATGGACGTTCATATTTTTTGCATACAATGGCTACGATAATCTTTTTTACCTGCACGACAAGTTTTCAGTTGGTATAACAATAGAGTGTCGTTGTTTTTGTGTTTTTCCGATTCCTCATGAGATTGTACTGCGTTAAGACTCTCATCTTTTTTTCCCTGTACCTTTCAAATGTAAACGACCTGACGTCATATTAGTTTTCCGACGAAACGAGTGCAAAGTTGTATTCATATATCGATTTCTCCATTCATGGCAGCTTTCCAGGGGTTAATGTATACAATTTCCTTTCATGCTTTCCACTGTACGGAGGTAACAAACATTCGAGCGAATCAGGTGATACTTTACACGATATTCACATTTCGTTTACTCGTCTATATTTTTGAAGTTTCAAAATGTAATGCACAAAAGACAAATTAATATTGTCCTGTATTTCTTTTTTAACTTGTTTTATTAATACAGCAACTTGGAACCAACTGGAACTATGAAGGACAATACTATATAGACAAAGCAAAACAATTATAGAAAAAAGAAGCAAAGTTCATTGAATTATAGAAAACCAACCATGTTTGTCTTAATATTTTGTAGCACAACCAATATTATCAATCACCGCCTGGCATCGTCTCGGCATAGATTGTAGAAGTTTCTTGATATAAGATTCATCAATCTGTCTCCACTTTTTTTCTAAAGCGGCAAAAAGTTCATCCTTGTTTGAATAATTTTTATCTCGTATTTGCTTGTCTAAGGCCCGTATCGTCAGTCGTCCCTACAATTGTAGGGCGCCTTTATGGCCTCCTTGATTGTCATATACTAAGTGACATATAACTCCGAACACCCAGTTTAAATGGTTTTATTTTAATAAAATTTTGTATAAGTACTTAATGAAGCATAATAAGTAAATGATAAAAATTTCAAAATGATTGCACTGCTTTAAAGCCCTTTGACCTTTAATAATGTGTGGATGCACCCTGATGTGCTACGCATTCTCCAACGCGCCTAGGCATGCTTCTGATCAGGTGGCCAATGTCCTCCTGTGGTATCTCATTCCAGGCAACCACCAACTCCTCTCGAAGTGCTTCTAGAGTCTGAGGAGGACGTTGCAAATTGAGCAATCTCCTACCCATCATATCCCACACGTGCTCAATTGGGGATAAGTCGGGAGATCTTGGTGGCCATGGTAACAATGTGACATCATTATGTTGAAAGAAGTCTATTGTGACTCTTGCAACATGTGGTCGGGCATTATCTTGTTGGAAAGTTGGATCTGCCTGGGTGTCAAGATAGGGTAAAAGATGGGGTTCTAGAACTTCGTGGATATAACGCTGCGCGTTCATGTTACCTCTGATGAAGATTAAAGGTGACCTGGAACCATAAGCTATAGCACTCCAAACCATAACTCCAACAGTGTGATGAACATGTCTTTCAACAAAAAACTGTGGATTCCTCTTTTCACCACGTCGCCTTCTAACCCTGGCACGACCATCGTGCATGCCTAAACAAAATCGAGACTCGTCACTAAAGACAATACTGTTCCATTCCTGATCCCAGAGTGACCGTTGTCTGCACCACTCAAGGCGATTACGTCGGTGTTCTCGAGTTAAAGGGAGGACCCAGTGTGGCCGGTATGAAAACAAGCCAAAACTTCTCATTCGCCGGTAAACACTTCGCATGCCAATAGGTCTTCCGTGTTCTGCAACCCATTCATTTGCAATGGACCTGGTAGTGGAGAAACGGTCCCTTAAGGCCAATAATCTTAGGCGGCGATCTTCACGGTCTGTTGTTCTACGGCGGCGTCCAGTGCCCCTTGCTCTTTGTGTACGGCCTTCTCGAAGCCATGCCTGACAACACCTAACCACAGTGTCTACACTTCTTTGCACTCTAACTGCAATTGCCCGAAAAGAAAGTCCAGCTTCCCGAAGACCCACTATACGGCCCCTATCAAACTCACTAAGTTGACGAAATCGTACAGGTCTCCATACTCTAGGCATCGTAACCGATCGTAAAGGATGTCAAGAACCAAAATCCGCCAACGTTGATTCTTTACTGCGGCTGAAATATTCATTTTTAGAGCGTTAGTGAATTAAAAAAAGCAGTATAAAAACCGGAATGTCCAACTGATAAGGCTGAAAATTTGTTCACTTGTTATTTACAGTAAGATAAATACATTCACCAACTTTTATTAAAATAAAACCATTTAAACTGGGTGTTCGGATTTATATGTCACTTAGTAGAACTTCAAACCATTTAATCTTCTACTTATAGTTTTCGTAGAAACAGTGACAATTCCTTTTGTCTCGATTTCGGCTTTTATTTGTCTTGTGGTTTTAAACGGATCTTTGGACGAAATTACTTTTATTAGTCTAACTGATCTAGCATTTAGTTTTCTAGGCCGACCACTTCTCTTAGAGGCTTCCAAGATACCTTTTTGTTTATATTTGTTCAATATTGCCCAAACTGCTTTACGCTTCAGCTTCAAATTTTTGGCAATATCGACTTGACGTTGACCATGTTTGTATAACTCAATGATCTTAGTTTTCACATCGAAAGAAATTTCTGGACCACGCGGCGTGGTCTTCAAATCACTCAAATTATTCCACAATACTTGATGAACACAAACTAAACCTCTTCGGACACGAAACTGTCCTGACCTAGTGTTGAAAAGAATTTGTCTACATATTTTTGCCCCTCATAAAAAAGAGCTTATATTCAGACTTGTTTTGTGTTCATTGCAGATAATGTAAATACAAGGAATTTAGTTTTTCTACTAATAACGCATTTGTTTATGGAGCAACGAAGTATGAATTCGTTTTCTAAAGGTATTTAGGTAAAAATCCATAATTGTCTATATACTTTTGTCCATTACTGTACATTATTTCCCTGCTCTACCGGTAGTTATGACCACGTGGCCACGTTGTCACTTTCCGCATCTGTACGGCATTGCTGCAGTCTCTTTCGTTTCGTGCAAGGTCCGTCTGTTTTTGCGCTTCAGTACGGATACATATACAGAGTGGCCAGGCGTGGCGATTTTTCGCCAAAATGGCAATTTGACGGCTTCAAATTGCGACTAAAATGGATAGCTTGGCGACTGATTAGTGGCGCCCGCTATCCAGGAAATTGACGATTTTTAACATTTCTGACATTTGTCAACAATTTTAGCGACATTACATCGTTTTTTAAACTATGTTCGCTTTTTGATATCACGTAGGTTTTTCTATAAAATGTCACCTTTGCAATAGCGGACATGCACATTTATTTGTAGCAGGCGCGGACTGAACTAGCGGTACACGAGCGGGAAGTTCTTTTTCCCAAGGGCTACTCTCCTACCATTAAAATACAGCATTAGATACAATACCGAACTAAATTATAAGAATAATATTTATTCACTCAATGTACAAAGAAAACAACATGGGTAAATAAATATAAAATAAAAACAGGAATAGGTGGCATCGCCTGTTTTTGGACCACACATATTAAGCTGTGTAGAATACAAGTTATAAAAAAGGGCAAGAATTAGTCATAGTGGATTAGGACTTGATGTTCATACTTATGAGTTTAGGAATTTCAGTCCTTGATATAGAATGTAATATTTTCATTAATAATTGCAAACCTTTTAAATCTTTAGGCATAATTTCATGAAATTTTGGCGCTGAATAGAGATATGACCGCTGCACTATAGATTTATGTGGCTGAGGGGCTACTGTACCTCGAATTTTGTACCTTAAATAATGATTATGTTTAA